AATTTTTTTTTTTTTTTTTTTGCCGTACTAGAGATTGAACACAAAGCTTTCACATCCACTCTATCCTCACCCCTTTATACTTATTTATTTTTATTTTGAGACAGGTTCTTGCTAAGTTTCTAAGTTGTCCAGGCTGAGTTTGAGCTTGCAATCCTTCTGCCTCAGCCTCCCAGAGTGCTGAGATTACAGATGTGAGCCAGCACATGTGGCTGTGAGAAAACTTTTTGAGAGCAAAACTGGATAGTATTTTTCTTGTGCATAAACCTTACAACTTCGTTTACATAAGGTTTGCAGTCATTTTGTGTCCCCTTCTCTCTCTTGAATACTCACAACGGACCTGCCCGAGACCACATTCCCCACCTCCAGTGACTATGGAACGTGGTGGTCTCGTCCACCCCAGTTATTTCCTGCAGGGACCCACAAAACAGCTTCCTAATTAGCCCCACGGCGTCCCCCATGATTCCTGCTCTATTCTCAATGCTGAGCCAGGGTGTTTAAAACAGAAATCAGAGGACGACTCTCTGACGCACCGAACACTCCTTCCTAGGGTTGGTGAGCACCAGGCATGCTCCCACCACAGAGCTCACACACCTGCTGGTCCCTGCCTGGTGTGAACCTCCCAGAGGGCTGTCCTTCCTGCCTCAGCCCCTACCTGCTCAGTGCCAGCTTCTTGAGAAGTTGATTTGGCCCATTCTATTAAATGACAGGCCTGGTTTCATCGGCATTCCGACTCCTCTTCCCTAATGATCCCCTCAGAATTCCACCCGCTCTGCTTTCTCCCAATCGGAGGCTGGAGACCCCTTGAGGAGTGGCTAACTTCATAGACTGTGTGCGACAACCTTTTGAGAAGCGGCCTCCTCCCACGGGGCAACAGCAACAGCAGGACGGTGTCATTCTCTTCGGCCACTGCTGCACCCCCAGCATCTGTGTAGCACTGGGCCTGACACATGGTAGGAACCCAGGGACTACTTAGCAGGTGACTGAACAAACTAGAAGTACCGGGAATCCACGTGCCCATCAGTCTTGCGTGCTGTTGCCCTTCCTAGAGCTGAAACAGCATGGAACACACTGTAGCCAGTCAATAAAACAAGCAAGGAAGATCTGACTCTTTACAGCTTGGTGTGATGCCTCCCGACACTCTCTTACCGATATGTATTTGTGAAACACACCGACTGAAAAATAAAACCCTACTGTGATAACTTGAACTTCTCCCCACAGCGCAAGTATCTCTCCACATTTATCTGACGACTTCTGTTCACTATCTTCTTTTTGCAGAAATAACACATCTTGTCACCCAAGAGCCCGAGAGCCAGAGCCATGACAACACCCGATAACAGTGACATACCGAAGCAGCGATGTATAAGGGGACAGACGGGTGGAGAGCTGTCTTGGCAACGCACTCCTGCCCCACGGCACACTGTAGCAAGATCTGGGTCAGGAATAAGAACAAGTCGGGGGATTTGGGGCTGAAGGAGAGTCATTGTATAATTTCAAAACTTTCCCAAGATGATTTGGATAAGTCCCAGACTCTCCTGGAAAAACTCTGAAATGTAATGCAAAGCACTTTTTCGTTGAATTGTTTTCATTAAAGTGATTCCCTGTTCCCTGTCAAAGCACAATAACTTATTGGCCCTATCTGCGCGGTTGGCATAGGGATATTGGTAAATGTTTGCATTAAAACAGCAATGATGCAGGTCCCTGCGAGACACGCGACCCCAGGAGGGAAACCTTTGCTGTGTCTTAACTACTTGGTGACCACACTCTGCAGTGTTGGTGGCTGAGGGGCTCCTGAGACAGGAGGAGAGGGTGGCCTGATCTTAAGAGAGGTCCCTGCACTTCAGAGACTCTTATGATGATCAGACATCCGAAGAGAGCAGAATCACACATTTTGTTGTTATTTCGCAGACAACTCAGAGAGGGTAGCTGGCAATGTCTCCTGGAATAGAAACACAACCAATTCTGTTTTCTACTAATGGGAGGCGCCTGACTTCACAGGGCCCTGTGATAACCTCACCCATTCACCCTGCCTAGAGCTCTGTTCCTCTCAGTGACCTCTGTCAGTTCTTTGGTGTGTGGTTTTGCTTTATCATTAATTTAAATGGAGTAGCACCAATTAATTAATTGGAATAATAACAAAGACTATAATGATCTCACTAGCCTGTTGGGAGGATGAATTAAGTGAATAATTAAAACCTTGATAAGCATTTCAAACATGCAAGTAGTTAGGGGAAAGTACTCTGTAAAGCCAACTGATTATTGGACACTCTCCAGATAACACTAAGGTAGGGTGGAGGCCCCTGCCCCAGCGGCAGGCCACTCTGGAATCCCAGGAACCTGCTGGCAAAGATAGAGCAGCCTTAGGAATGACTGACCAGGAAGGAGTAAAGGCTTTTCTCCTCTGGTGTTTTCAGACCCAAGAGAGAACAGATAACAGCTAGCAAAGAACCAGTACACAGCTCTGGCTACTAAATAAACAGTACTGGTGAGACTCTCCAAGGACATATGCTTTCACTGACTCGTACCACTAATGAAAATATGCACGAATACAAAAGTACAAGGACCAACTTTATGGTTGTGCGTTGTTTTTTTTCGGTACCGGGGTTCGAACTCTGGCCCTATGCCCTTGGAAGCAGGCAGCGGGACCACTGAGCCAAATCCCGGCCCTAAGGACTAACTTGAATATAAATAATTTGAAATAGCCTGAGTGCTGAGTAGGAGACTGGGGAGCTGAATTATAGAAGTGAGGAGAAATATATTATTGTTGCTGTTGTTTCTGTTGTTATTGAGGTACCAGGGATTGAACCCAAGACTTTCACCCTGAGTTATACACCTAGTCCCCCTTCACATTTTGAGAAGAGGTCTTCCTGCGTTGCCTAGGCTGGGCTGGAATTCGCAATCCTGCTACCTCATCCTCCCAAGTGCCAGGATTACAGACATGAGCCACCATTGTCATGTCAAGAAATAGATGGGAAAAGATTAGAGTGGAAAGTGGCCATCCGGGGCTTGTGAAGAGTATTTTTTTACTTTTTACTTTGCACATTCACATAGTTTGAAAGGTTTAAGGCAATAATGCAATGCATTGTGGGAAAAAACCATTTTGTTTATGCGGAAGTGTTTTCCCTACATAAAACACACTTTTTGGTTCTCTGACTGCTGATTGATAATGAATATGTAACTTTCTCACTTGCTGGTGGCTATTTTTCTCCATTTCCAAAGAGCAAAGCATTAATGTCACATTTTTTTCAGGAAACGCTGATTTTTTCCTTTATGATTACAGGGCACTTTTTCATATTGATGATTTGTTCACACACAAATCATCACTTATGTGTCTTCCTTCCAGGGTTTTAAAACTCTGACTTCGGAGGGCCGGGGGTGTAGCGTGTGGCTCAGCCAAGTCTAATGTGTGTGGGGCCATGGGTTTGATCCTTAGCACCATGAAAGAAAAGAAAAGAAAAAAAAAACAAGATTTCTGGTAGGAAAAAAAAAAAATTGAAATTGGAGATTATTGTCAATACTTTATTTGCTGAATAAGAAAGAGTGACTATAATGATCATCAATTCATAGATTTTTTTAAAAAAATATGAGGACATATTATTCTCACCCTTTCAGATTTCATAAAGCAGACTAGATTAAAGAAAAATGAGCCAGGCATGGTGTACACACCTGTAATACCAGCAATCAAGGTACTGGGTGGGAGGCTGAGGCAGGAGGATCACCTCAAATTTGAGGCCAGTCTGCACTACTTAGTGAGGCCCTGTCTCAAAAAAAACCAAAAAGAAAAAAAAAATTATTTACCAGGTCATATAGAAAACAGAAGAAATCTTCTACCATCATGATAGAAAACATGATCTCAGAATACTGGGCCATTCTTATGCTGATATAGGTTTATGAAAATAAACTACATTGGTGAGAAAGCTACCACCTAAGTTAATTTTTTAAAATCATATTTGGCTGTAGGCCAGAAAATGAAATTGATTTTTTGTTTGTTTTTGGTTTTTTTGAGACCAGGTCTCACTATGTAGTTGAGACTGACCTGGAACTCACTATACGTAGCCCAGGCTGGTCTCGAACTCACAGCGATTCTCCTGCCTCAGCCTCCGGAGTGCTGGGATTACAGGCATGCGCCACCATGCCCAGCCTAGGAAATGAAATTCTTATCGAGCAGAGAGTGCCAGAGCTTAGGAGGAAGGGGCTTTCCTCTCAACTGGCAATGTTCTGTGTACTCCATGGGCTAAGGAGAGGGTCACACATGGGTGTCAGCTTCTCCCAGGGTTCTACTTACTCTAGGGGGCAACAGTTCACGCTAAACATTCCTGTGATAAGCTGGCTTTGCAAAACCACTGGCTTGGTTAAACGCATTCTCTTCAGGACATGGCTAAGGCACGTGCCCTCACGGAGCTCAGAGAACAAGTCAGGGGTCCCAGGAATTGTTTTCAGTAGTCTCTCTGCATGCAAACCGAATTCTGATCTCTCAACTGTTAAGATAATTCTTTCCACAAGCATTTGCATGTGCTTCGTCTCCCATCCCAATGAAAGCGTGAAACTGTATAAATTTCAATTATTTTCAAGTCTCTAGAAAACATTATTCTAATAAAAAACGTAACAGCAATTGTTTGCCATGTTTTAAATCAGAGGGAACCGGAAAGCATATTAAGAAACAGGCTTATATATTAAAATACATCACTCATGTTTTTCTGCCTTAAATTGATCTTAGAGGCTTGAGAAATTAAGGAAGGTGATTTTATCCTTTATCGTCAAAGAAAACAGCCCTACACAGTATCTACGGTAACTTGGTCCCCAGGCCAAGGCTATAAAGAACTCCTCCCATAGGATGTTTCGATAGGCCTCTTGTTTGTCTCTAAAAGATAATCCCACTAAAACAAAAGCAAAAGGACGTCGGATACGTTGCTGCACACCTACCTGACAGCAAAATGCAAAACTGCTGGGCCTGGCTTCTTGGGCAAATCATGGTCGAGAACGCGGTGATCTAACTGCAGCCAGTTCTGCTGACCTCTGTGAGAGCAAAGCAAAGAAAAAGTGTTCAGTGAAAGGCTGGCTAACACACAGTGCAGGCAGAGCTGGAGGGAAACAGCTACTTTCAGAAGCTGAGGCAGAGAGTACCACCCATGGCAAATCACAGACACACCTGCCCCCGACGCAGCATTTCCAGTCCCAGGAGCTTATGGAGATAGCACGCGTACTTCAAAACTGGTCTATGCACAAACCCACTCGCCATAGCATTATCAGCATTCGCAGGAGGACCAGCAATCACCTATATGTCCTGAAGGGTTTTGTTAAAATAATGATCTAAAGCTCTACACTGAGCTAAAACGGAGTCTTAAATATGCTGTTCACACACAGCCTGTTCACAAACTAGCCACGAACAATCTTTGAGACACAACATTAAACTTTAAAAAGTAAGACAAGTATAGTATATTGCCATTATTATACAGGAATTAAAAGAATTGATATATAGGGCATCCACATAGAAAAATTCTCTGAGAGGATGAGAAACTGCTAGCATCGGCTACTCTGGAGAGGTGAAAAACTGCGCAACATTATTTAATCTTTAAATTCTTATTAAATATGAAATATTTTAGCCAAGGAGGGGAAAACTTCTGGCTTAGAAATGAAACAGACACAGGTCCCAATATCAGCCGAGATCGATGTGTTCAGGGTAGTATGGCCACAGACTGTGGATCCACTACCACAGCCTTTAAAAATGTACAGGGACAAACATTTCTCTGCTCTTTCTGTGTGCACCATACGGACTTACCAATATTTAGGCAATCGCTTATTTACTCAAGAGCCTCACCAAGTTCGCGGGTGTAAACAGCTTTCTCTAGATTTGCACCCCCGAGGGCTCAAAAGGGTCCACCACACTGGATTGTTTTCACTCTTCCGAGGTTGTCCAACTAACTAGCCCATGCAGAGGCCACTTTCTTTGCTTACATAAAATCCAGTTTAAAAGCGTGCTCTTGCAGATGAGTGGTGCCAGTTTGTAGCAAAATCTGTAACGGGCTGGAAGGCATTTTTCAACCTATTTGGTCCCTGAGTAAATAATATAAGATGAAATCAAGTTTTGGTGTTGTAGCCTGTAATCCCAAGCAGTCTGGGAAGCTGAGGCAGGAAGAACGTAAGTTTAAACCCAGCCAGGGCAATTTAGTGACTTAGTGAGACCCTATTAAAAAAAAAAAACAAACAAACTGCTGAAGATGTAGCTTAGCTTAAAACCTGGGTTCAATCCCCTGTACTGGAGAAAAATAAATCAGAAGATTTTAAGCTGCATTCCTAAGTAGATAGGAAAACCAGGTATAGTTCTCTTTATTGAATAATTATTCTTTGTTCACCATCTTAGAACTTCTTACCTGTTAAAGTGATATTTTACACTAACTCTGCAAGGAGCGCAGCAGAGCTGGGATTTGAACCTGGATTTCCTTAATAGGAAAACAATGTGTCTTTGCTTCCACAGTTACAAGATAAGGCCACTCATAATTACCTCTAGATTTGCTTGGAGGGATATAATAAAGATAAATAAGCTGATATACCTGATGTAAGAACATCTTAAAACGTCTGCTTTTGTGGCTAAGGGAGTGGGGGAGATTTAAAGAGTTGGAATTAAGGAATTTTTACTCTATATTTCAAGTTTAGGATGCTATTGATATTTATTCATTTAGACAGGGTCTCCCTACATAGTTCAGTCCTTGAAGTCATGATGTAGGCCAGGCTGGCTTCAAACTCATGGCGATCCTCCTGTCTCAGCCTCCTGAGTGCTGGGATTACAGGCGTGTGCTATTATACACAGCAGGATACCATTGATCTAAAGACAATCCCAATCTGACATAGTCAAATGTGTGTCTTAAAACACAGGAAATACTGTATTGTCTAGTATCTGGTCTCAAAAGTTTTCTTACGGTAAATGGAGTGAACTTTGGATTGTCCTTTATTTTTGTGTTGAAAAGATGTGGCATTGTTTAAAAGGCATAATTTATATAAACTTGTATAGATAAAAATGGAAGAAGCAAATTTACAATAACATATACAGCACAAACCAATTAGGTGAGCCACAGATGCACAGGGAAAGCACTATTAAATAGGGGTGCGAAGTTTAGGTCTGGTTCTGGCGAGATTTAAAGCCAGCTACTAAGACGAGTTATCCCCAGTGAATGCACTAATTGGAGTGGGAAAAAAACACTGGCTTCAACTATGACATTTAACATTTCTGAGGTCTACGTGTGTATGTGAAATAGTTTTTAAAAGTATATGCTAGAGCTGGACAGGGTGGCACACACCTGTGATCTCAGCACTCGGGAGGCTGAGACAGGAGGATCGCTGTGAGTTCAAGACTAGCCTGGGCTACATAGTGAGTATCTGACCCTATCAGGCTGTGCAGACAAACCAAAAAGCAAACTTTTCTTTTTGGACCTAATTACATCAGGGGCGGGCCCATCATTTCAGGCTATCGAAGGGACAGTGATGGGAAGTCACAGCTGTGTTGTAAAGCCTATTTGTCATTTCCTCATAAACAGAGCATACTCAGCAGTCTTTCAAAGCGTGGAAAGGGAAAAACATGAAATGGGGGAAGTGATAAAAACCATGCCCAGGCTCTAAAGGGGCTCCTACCTCAGGAGGGCGAGACTGCCCTCTAGGGGAGGGAGCTGCACCCTGCACCCAGATCTGGAAGGCACTAGGGACAGTACGGTACCATATGGGAATCTCCTCTCTAATTCCCCCTCTGGATTTGTTTCTGCTGGCTGCCGTTACTACTCCTGTTATGTAACTGCAGACTATTTTTCCATTTCTGCCCTTGGTCTACGGGCTGGGGTACAGACACTAGCTAGTTTCATTGGCCAAATGTCACATTGAGCTTCAGCTTACTCTAAAGTTTACCAAAAGCGCAAGGCTCATGTGGCATCTGGGATGGAAAAGGCCATTCAGACAGCGCCCTGGGAGGGACCCCATTCAGTGGTTTCATGTGGGCGGAGGAGGAGAGTGCTGAAAAAGTGCTTTCCAAATATATGTGCCAGATGAAAAAAAACAAAACAAAACAAAAGCAAAAACTAGCCTTGTGACTGAGACATTCCAGGGAGACACCTTCAGACATAAGCGATTTTCCAGGCCTGTTACCCAGCAAGGTGGAAATGGCAAATTCCCTCCCTCCCAAAAGCCAACTCAAACTTGCAAAAGTAGATGTAGCCAGAGCTAGAAATAGATGGTGCTGTCACCTACAGGGGAGTGCTGGGTGGGGAGGACACGTTGGGGCCAAAGCTGGAGGAAAATCTGAGCCTTGCCAGTGGGAGCCCAAGCAGATACCTGGGGGAGAGCTTGGCAATCTTCAGCTGATATCGTTCTGGAGAGAAATGCCCTGCACACAGGGAGGGTGGCCTGGGTCCTCAACGTCCGTCATTGCCATCATTCCTCTTCCTTCTGAAGAAGTCTGACTGCCTGACTTACACACAGTCTGGGGTCTGGCTGTTATTCATCTGAGTTCTGAGCTTTCCCAAAAGCCCTTGGGTGTCCAGAACCTTCTTTTCCAGCCCAGCATGAGTCCTGCAGCCTGAGAAGCCTTTGGCACCGCGCTCACAAATCTGTTCCTCCTCTGTGTGGCATCCTTCCAGCCTGGGGGTGGCTCCCCAACCTCCGTGACTCACAGGTCACCTGTGATTTTGTCCTCTGCTCACCTCTTCCACCATGGCTGGGCTGGTATCTTCACACTGGGCAAACGCGTCGTGTGTCTGTGCCCCTGCCCCCAACTGACTCTTGCCTGCAAGGCCATGTCTCATGTCCTCTCCCTCCATCTAAAGTCCACCTGCTAGGTCACATTCTAGTAACCTTTTCCTGTGAGAAGGCCTTCCCGTCCCCCTGCACCTCTCTGCCCATTCTCTTGTTGCCATGACTACTAACAACAGGAGCACCCGTTCTCTGTGCCTGTGCTGTGGCTTCATATAACTGGCTTGGTGGACTAGTCGTATATAATCCCAGTACCCTATTGTAGATCCCCTACATGGTACTTACTAGATAGGTGTTCTTACGATGTCCATGGTACAGATGAGAAAACTCGAATGTCAGTGATGTCAAATAACTGCCCTAAAATCACATAGCTACTAATTTCTACGATGTCTGCCTCTTGCCTCCCTCTCTGCTCTTGTCTTTTTTTCCCCCATTTCTAATGGGGATCAGGGTCTCTCTAAGTTGCCAAGTTGTCCAGCTCGGGCTCAAACATGTGACCTTCCTGCCTCAGCCCCCAAAGTAGCTGGGATTACAGTTAACCACTGGCAAGCAGTCATTCTCGGGCAGTGATTGTCTACGGTCACAGGCCTGGCAATGAGGGGAAAGCCCGGGGCTGGACACAGTAGGAGAGCGTGCTTTTGCAGAATTGGTGCCTGCTTTTCACTGGGGGTCACCCTGTAGACACCATCCTGCCCCACTGTGTTTAAAATGGCCTCTCCCCACTTCTGACATGGCCTCTCATTTTGTTACTCAGTTAGACTTGTGGTGTTTTCTCATGTATCTGTGCTTGCTTGCTATGGTTGACTACAGCCCTGCAACAGAAACTCCACGGAAGCAGAGACCTTGTCTGTGTCACTCGCAGCTGAATCCCCGGACATACAGCAACATCTGGCTGGTAGTGGGCACTCAAGAAATATTTGTTGAACAAATAAACGAGTCTGGTAGCCATGCTTTTAGTCTCAACTCTATGTGACCTTCTCCTAAATTATAGTGCTTACAGCAATTACAGCCAGCCATTATGTATTTATGGCTTTATGGCTTGTACTGCTTGCTAGTCCTTCATTTGTTTCCAGGTTCAACGTGTGTGTGTGTGTGTGTGAGTGTGTGTGTGAGTGTGTGCATGTGTGAGATCACATATTCGCATGAACCGGTTTTGGCTTTCTGGCCGCAACTGTGCCAGTGAACAGTTGTATTTCCCATTTCACCCAGCAGAGGGAAGATCACGGAAGAGGGAAGATCAAGTCGTGAAAAGATGTTTCTTTGCATCACAGGAAGTAGGTGATGCCCAGTTATTTTCTTCTGTTTTGCTGCACCATACTCAGGAAACATCATGAGTCGAGAACCCACATTTTCAAGGCTTTCTACATCTCCTAATAGGTCCCTGAATTTTACCTGGCCAAAGCCTGTAGACCCTGAGGCTGTTGGCCGCATCTAAAGGTCCTAGGCTAATAGCCCACCTAGGCCGAAAACAGCTAGAAGCCACCTGGTGTTGAACACAAATTAACTCCTTTTTGAAATTATTTTCCACCTGATTGAACTCAAGAAATGAAAAACACTTAAACTGAGAGAGTTATGGAAAGAACGCTGGGATAGTTGGCCAACATATTTTGTGTCTGGAACATATTTTCTCAAATTTTAATATTTAAGGAACTCTTTGGAAATTGTGTCCAGAATGCGGAAGGATTTCACTGATAATATATATCCGGCCACATAAAATATAGGCAAATTAGGCTGCCAATGAGACAGACAGACAGACAGACAGACACACACATACATGCACATGCACAAACAGCACAAAGAAAAGAGCTAGTAACTCCAGAGAGTTTTAAATCTTTAGGGATTTGTTTTTACATATCATATCAGCCTCATTTCATTGACAATTTAAATTTTTGAGAAAAATATATCCATACACATATATCCACACACACAATAACCAACAATTTCAGAGGATCTAATTGGGGGCCAAAGATTTAGCTCAGTGACACTGAGTCTGCCTTGTAAGTGTGAGGTCCTGAGTTCAAGCCCCAGTATATATATAAAAAGGATCAAATAGCAAAAAGAAGAAGAAGAAAAATAAAGCAAAAGGGCAATATGAAACAGACCTAGGTTTCTGTGAGGAAGTTCATTCCATATCAAACCATATACTTATGTCTATAACATTAATTTAGTTTCAAGATGAGTGAAGAAAAACTTAGTATTTCTATCATGGCTACATGAGCTACATGAGCAAGTCCGACCACACTGAGAAGCATGTAAAACCAGACCCCAGCTGAGAGTTCCAAATTTGTTACCATAAATTTCTATAACACTTAGGATAATATTTTGAGTTTTTCAAATGGCTAATATTCCTTTTCTTCTCCCTTTGCAATTGTGCTGGGGGGAAAATCCTGTATTAAGAAATCTTTAAGCTGGACATCCTCAAGTCCCTGAAGTGTTTTTTTTGTTCATTTTTGTTTTTACTTTTGTTAGTCATGAATTTTGTTAGCCAGGGGGTAGTCCTAGCAAAAAGTAAATAAATGAAAACTGTTAAAACACTTACGTGTCATCTACGAATGTTATTCCAAAATACTCCTTTTCTTTCAGGTTGAAATGCGAAGCCACAAGGTCCAGCAATTCCCTTGATAAAAGTTTGGGCTATTAAAATAAAAAAATCTGATTAGAAGCAATTCGGTTACCTCTTGCTCATATCGGCGCCACTTTCTTTGGCCCCTTTCTTTGGCTTTCACTTGCCGCTGTGGTTAAATACCCACCCCCACTTGCCGATCAGGTTCACTACAGAATGTTCTGCAAGAGTTCTGGGAAGGAGCAGAGACGGGGCCCAGAATATCAATGAGATATTTCGTCCTTCATGGATTTGCAATTCACCTGAGTACCTTTTTCCCCCTCTAAGGTAACAGTGCGCTTACTAATATGTTGGTGTTTGGACAAAATACTCTTTTATATGTAGCATGACACTAGTGATCAAGGTGAGGGATATTAAACGCCTCCCTCCTAGTCACCTGAAATATCACAAAAAAATTGTAGGACTAATTCTGACTGGCGGTCACCAGTCGAACAGGCTCACAACTCAAGGTTGCAGGGCTGCAGGGAGTTACCATTTATCGTCCTGAACTTATATACCTTCACTCAATCCTTACAATAAATAATGAGCCCCTGAGATCGGGCTTTTTACGTCCATCTCATAAATGAGCCAACCAAGGCAAAGAGGCTGGCGTCTCACTTGACGTGGCACTGTTTCAGCCAAAGTCTTGACCCTGGTTCTGCCTCCTTCTGAAGTCTGAGATGTCCGTTTCTCTCTATGGATGGAGCCACTGAAAGACCTCTGCGAAGTACTGTCAGGCTGAGTATCAAGCAGGGGATCCAACCTACAAGCTTTTGGGGAGCTCTGGACCTGGCAGGGGAAACAAGGTTAGGACTCTGCCAGGATGTGCAGAGGAATGACAGTTGCTGGGTCTGCAGGAACTAGGGAAGGAAAGGGGCCTGCAGGAGGGGACACAGGACGGAACCTTCTGAACCCTGAGTCAGAGTTCAGGGACTGCACGGCAGTCTAAAGGCTGGGGCTCTTCTGCTGGAGAAGAAAAGATGGGCCTGATTTGAAGGAGAGTAGGAAGGAAAGAAGGGATGGAGGGGAGGATGGAGAGAGGAAGGAAGGAAAAGGGAGAAGGAAGAAAAGAAAAAACAAAAACGGGCAGAAATCCAGACTACAATTTGTACACCAGGGAAACTACAGTCAGCTGTACTGTTCTCATTCTAATGGAAGCCTGCACACCGGGGGCTGGGGCCACGGCTCAGAAGGACAAGAAGGCAGGGTGGCCAGAAGAAGTCTAACCCAGCCAGAGAGGGCCCATTGGCAGGGCCTTCCTTAACTTCTTAGGACGTATGGTCCAGGCTGCTGGGCACATAGAAAGGAAAGCATCAGAAATTGAAATATCATCACTCACAGGGTATCATATATTTAACCCTAGTTCCGCGCTCACAGCTGACTTAACCTCAGGCAACAACCAATGAAGCCAGTGTCTCACTCACACAAGGCCACGTGGCTGGAAAGTGGCAGAATGCGGGACCACCTCACAATGACCCTTTCCCGGGAACACTGTAGGCCTTGACTGACCAAAAAGAGTCAGAGTCGCTCAGGGTGACACAGCTCTGGAACGCGCAAGCCAGGACTGGAACCCCTGTCTCTAAATGCGTGTCAGCAGGCTGCAACCACGGTGCCGGACAGGGCCATGTTTTGGGGCTTGTCAGCTGCCTTTTTCCAGCAGCCACTCCTGAGCCTGAGCACAGACCTTGGGACTCCGAAAGGGTGGGCGACACCTACCTGAACCAGCAGCTCCAGCCTCCTGTCATCCAGGAGGTGCACCTGGCAGTGCCTGCCTTCTGTCATCTGTGGGGACAAGACAGCAAGAGTGTGTCAGGGCGGGCACTGGGTCCACACCTATAAACTTGCTTTCTCATTTATTTCATGTGGGATTGCTCAGCCTGAAGGCTGAGTTCATCAACATGTTTGTCCAGAAGCAGATTCTTGAGCAGAGACTTGCTGTATAGTTCAGGGTAGCCTTGAACTCACTATGAAGGCCAGGCTGGCCTTGAATTTTCAGTGCTCTTCCTGCCTCAGCAGGGATCACAGGCGTGTACAACCATCTCCTGATAGAAGCGATTTCTTTTCTTTTCTTTTGGTATCCAGGATGGAACATGGGACCTTACACTTGCGAGGCAGATGGTGGCAGCACTGAACTAAATCCCCGGGGCCAGAAGCAGATTTCTTACAGAACATTAACTTGGGGTTCAAAGAAGAAAAAATGAAAAGCAAAGGCCACTCCATATATTGAAAAAATAACGGCCCTTTTACTGAAGTAAAAAATGCACACAAAGTCACACTATGAAAAGTAGGTCACTTCAGCAGCACATATACTAAAACGGAAAAGTAGATCTCCTTCCCGAAGGAAAGTACCATGTTTTTTGTTAAATCGGTATTTTATTTTTCAAATGAAAACACCTTTAACTGTGCATATGTTTTCATAAATGTGATGCATTTGTAATTACAAGAAGAGAAACGTGACACTAAAGTTAAAATGGAATGTCTTAATTTTCAGAAAATGTGTCCTCTTTTTAGGACACTGCGTGTTGTGATGATTAACCTTGTTCGTGGGACTGGGTCGAGAGATCCCTTGGAGAAGTGACTGGATTGGGAGGGCTGTAACATCGCCAGTGGGTTAACACAGGGCGAGTGCATATCTGAATAGGTGTTACGAGGTGGGGCCCAGCTGAGGGCTGTGACCTGCGGACCTCTCTCGGGCTCATAACCCCTTCCTCTCTGGCTCTTTCCAGCCTGCTTTGCTTCCTGGCCACCATGAGTTGAGCAGCTTTTCCTGCACCAGGCCCTTCCACCGTGATGATCTGCCTTGGGGCCAACTAACCATGGACTGGAACCTTTGGAACCAAAAGCCAAAGAAAACCTTTCTTCCTTTATGTCGGGTAGCTTGTCCCAGAATTGGGAAAACGAGCCAATTTATCAGCTACAGCGCAGAACAGTTCGGATGCATAGTTAAGAACAGTTTGATGTACACACTTCCAATGCTAAGCATTTTTTATACCTTAAAATTGCAGTATCCCTTAAAATATGGAAATAAAACACAGAATGCAAAGATGGGCCTCCCCCTCCTATTGATTAACCCATGGTCCAAACCATTTTATCTGCCAAAATCACCACCCTGTTGGTTTAAAGAGAATCCTCACAGACTACTTCTATGTATATTTTCAGATATATACATTTATGGATTATACACATACACACACACAGAGTAGATCGGTCTATCTTTTTTTGCAGTACTTGGGATTGAACCTGGCATCTTTGCACTGAGTTCAGCCAGTCCAGGGTCTCAGTAGGTCACTAAGTTGCTCAGTCTGGGCTCTGACTTGTGATCCTCCTGCCTCAGCCTCCTATGGTGCTGGGATAACAGGTGTGAACAATCATGCCCAGCTTAAAAATATTTTTTATTTTTATATGGACATACGCAATATTCTTATGTGTACAAATATCTAGAAATGTAATACATGTATATGTGTGTCAGCATACATATAAAATTCATAAAATTTCTTCTTCAGTCTAAGGGAGACCATGCTATACTCAGTGTTTTGCCTCCTATGTTTTTACTTCAATATTTCTTGGAGCGCTTCCTGCTGGCGGTGCATATGCACACTTCCTCCTTTCTCAAGATTCTATAGCATCAGGCCATCATGCGTGCATATAACAAAGTGATGAAGCACATCTGGAGGCCCCCAGTGTTTTGCCAATATAAGCAATACTACAAGGATCGGTGCACATCGGCTTCATCCACAGATGTGGGTCATGTTTGGAAAAGGGGAGCCTGCACGGTATTTTGTTTCTTGGGCGTTGTACCAAACTCAGGCATGAATAAACTCGAGTTAAAAAGAAAAGCTAAGGCCCAGATTTAGCTTGGTGGCGCTGCGCCTGCCTCGTAAGCTCAAGGTCCTGAGTTTGATCCCTGGTACTAAAGGAAAAATAAAAATAAAATAAAAGCTAGGTGCTGTGTATGTGCCTATAATCCCAGCTCCTCAAGAAGCTGAGGCAGGAGGATCACTTGAGCCCAGGAATTTAAGGCTCTCCATCTGAGGAAAAAAGGAAGAAAGAAAGAAAGAAAAAGGTCAACTAATTACTGACTGTCTACTAGCACTACCCTAAGTGTCTTATGTGTAACATCTCTGAGCTGCACAGTTAACCTTCTGGAACTGGTATCCTTATACCCATTTAACAGGTAAGGAAATGGAGGCCCAGTGCAATAAGAATCTTGTTTCCAGTGCAAAACAAAAATTTTTTTGATTTACATTTTTTTATTGAACTCTGCTCTAAAGGTCTGCAAACTAGCTCAACTGGTTAGACCATGGTACTACTACGCAGGTATGGCCCATGAGTACTGCTGATGCAGTGCTAAGTAGTTGGACAAGTTTACTTTGTCCCATGGCCACAGATTATTTCCTTAACTCTACAATGCCAAAGTCAAAACCTACCTTGAGTGGCAAAGCAAAGGAATGAAACTTTATAAGTTCTATGAACCAAACTGGGCAATTTACATATATTATTTCATTAAAGCTCCATAAAAAAAAATCAGTGACAAAACAATATCCCTATTTTAGAGATCAGTGAATCAAGGTAGAGATTTCAGTTATTATTTATTCAGAGTTACCTGGGCAAGAAAAAAAAAATCAAGTCAAATTTGAATAAGGGGGCTGGAGGTACTGTTCAGTAATGAAGGGTTTGTGTGAGGCCCTGATTGAGTTCCTAGCACCACGAGAAAGAAAAGAAAATATAAGAAAAGAAAAAAGCCACTCTTTTTTTCCATGTTTTCTATATTATAGCAGGAAAAAAGAGGGAAATAAATGTTTCTGTTTATACCATTCCACTTCTTTTGTAAAACAACACACAAAAGTTAACTCCAAGTGCATGCCCTACAGAAAAATATAATAAAATCATGCTCAATCAAAATATAAGAATCCACTAAAGAATTAATGTTATAAAAGTCAATGTCATAATTCAAGCCACTGCGTTGTCCTATAAGCCAAATAAATTTGTTTCTTTTCTTATCTTTTTTTTTTTTTTTTTTTTTTTTTTTTTTTTTTGTAGGGGGATTGAACTCAGGACCTTGTGCTTGCTAGGCAGAGGTGAGAGAACCAATGAGCTAAATCCCCAGCTCCGTAAATTTATTTCTTGACTTCAGCAATCATCGTGTTTTGCCTTGATACTGTCTTTTGGACCTTCCTCGAAGTAATCAATATTCCTTTTGGCAACATATTTTTATTATAGCAATTAAACAATAAATGTCTTTATTAATCTACCTAACCACTTCATTACAAACAAGAGCAACGGTGACCATGTTTTTACAACGTGATGCATTTTTTGGCCTCAGCTGATTGGACCAAGAATAGACACCTGACCCAAGTTGGCCAATCATAATTTTAGTCAGGGAATTTGGAATTGAATCTGACAGGATGAAAACCTGGTCACGGTGGGGCATTCTTTGTGTGCTGTGTGTGGAAGAATTCTGCAGAAAGAATGAGAGAGACAAATAAGTCGCTAGAAAGAGGCATGAGAAATCAAGGGGCTGTGAAGAAAAGCTGGAAGAGTTGCTCTCAGGGCTCCTAATGTCTTTCTAGTCGCTTCTCATCCTTTCTACAGGTTTGGGTGAATTCTTGTCTTCGAGTGCTCTGAAACAGCCCGAATCCCTAGAACGGTCCACTTATTTTCTGTCTTAGTCTAACTTGAGTTGGATTTCGCTTTTCACAAGCAAGAGCATGTTCACAGGATACCACAGGTTTCTCTACCTAAACGGAAGCAAAAGGGTTCCAACAGGCAGACCGCCCAAATGATGCCACTGACGTGGGAGAGCGGCTGCTCCCGGCCACGCACGCACCCAGGGAGGACAACGCAAACCACGACAGGCTGACGCCTGGGGAGGGCATGGGGCGCCCTGCAGAAGGGCAGCGCAGAGAGATCGTCCAGCAGTGGGCAGTGGTGTGCCTGGCATGGCCCAGTGGGCACCGTGCCCCTTCTTCCTCTGCGAGAGGGTGGTTCTCCCAGTGGCCGGGGCAGAAGTGACCGTCGCTAGCAATAGAAAGACCTGTCCTTGTCACTTATGTAAATCAGAGGTTAAAAGTGGTAGGTGTGTTTTGTTCATCAAAAATGCTTATGAATAAATCACATATTGGAAATCAGGGAGAGAGAGACATTTATAGCTAAATGGATAGACCTTGATAGCATACTCTTAATTCAAATAAATCGGACACACATGTTTAAGTACCACATTGTTTCTCTGGTGTGAAAAACCAAAAGTGGAAATAAGGACTAAAATATATAAAGGATGTTGGAAAATGGGAAGGGAAAAAGGGAGGAGGGAGGGGAAAAGGAAGGAAGGGACAAGAAAAAAAATCAAAGAAAAAGTGGAAACAGCTTTTGCATTAGGGAAGGGAGGGGGCTTGAGAGGAAAGGGGAAAGGGAGATAAAGAAGAGATGGGATGTATAATGTACGGGTGTAGGTTCCCTATCATGTTATATGTATATATAAAACGTAGGATATATGTTTGCATTTTAAAAAAGAAATCAGGAAATGACACCTAATAAAAGAGCTTCTTTTTTGTTTCTCTCCTCCAGCGTCTTTGCCCTGAGCTATACCCCCAGCCCTTTTCATGTATTTATTTTTTACATTTTGAGACAAGGTCTAGCTAGCTAAATTGCTAAATTGCCTAGGCTGGGCTCCAACTTGCCACCCTCCTGCCTCAGCCTCCCACAGTGCTGAGATTATGGGTGTGTGCCACCACGTCTGAGTGGAGAGTTTCTTCTGACTACTGGTAAGATCTGGAAACACTGGG